TCTTGGGTGAAGACTTTTGGATGAGAAGCAAAAATGTCATCACCCTAAGCAGTGACAGACTGATCAAGGACATGCCTCCTCCTCAGACAGAAACACCATCTGTTCATGATGTTGAGTCTGACATCCCTCAAAGCAAGATTTTCCAGGAATCCAAACTGGTGAGAGAAAAGTGATTTGTGCTGCTGGTAATTAGTACCTCTTGTGGTCTGGCAGCATGCTACAAGTTGACCATCAGGTGGATGCAACAGGCACAAATTCAGTTTCTTTTTGTTGGCTCACAAAGCAACAGCAGATCTGTTCCAAAGGGTGTTCTTCACATCCAGGGACAGGATGAATGTGAAAAGCTATTATTCCTCATTTTACTCATAGTATCTTGGCCTGCTTCCACTGGGAAATTGATTCTGTTGGTCAAAATCACCATGTGGCTGCTTTTCCCCACAGGGATGAGAGAAGTGAACGTATTTGCATCTGAGGCTTCCAAGAGCACGTTTGCAGTCAGGCTCTGATGTTGTGCGTGGCTGAACTGGGCAGCAGTGCCTTGCTCAAAAGGCTTCTGGAATGCCTGGATGGACAGGAAAGCTCCGTGGGCAGGACAATGGATCCCTGTGTGGAACTGGTTCCCAAGAGGATGATGGATACATGTGGTCCATCATCCACAGTCAGAAAGTGGCACGGCTGGCTGGCCTTTCCCTGTGTGCAGGGCTCAGCCCCAAGAATGGTTATTGCTTTCTCTCAGAATCCATCATCTTTTTTCCTTCATCATCAAAATTCCAGTGCTGGTTTGTGATGCCACCTGGATCCCATCCTGGGGAATGTTTCCAAATTCACCTGAGGCATACTCCCAATAGCAGAGCATAAATCCTCTTGGAAGGACAGTTCCTTGCTCACTTGATGCCTCATGTCTGGGGCCTCGTGTACATCTGTGGTTCTTGTGGTGCTACCCAAAACCAGGTCAGATGTATTTGTGTATTCTTCCTGGAGAGGAAGGGAAAAATAAGGAAAAACTTTTATAAAATGTAACATGCAACATCCACTGTATAATCTCTAAGATGTGAAGCACACTCTGATTTTGGTTTATGAGGGACAAACAGTCCTTCAACTAAAATCTCTATCAGCCCTTCTTTCAAAGAAGAAGATGCAAGACTGAAGTGCCTGATGAACAGGTTTGAAATGATGCAGCAGAGCTACTGATGGGCACAGGGTGTGGTTTTGTGTCTTCCAGATCAACTGCACCTTGGTGTGGTGTGTCTGGCAGAGAGAACCATGATGTGACAGAGGAGGATGAACTGGGTGTTTGCCTCCTGGGTGAATAAAACCACGTAACTTCAGGCCTTCTCTTCCCGTGATGCTGCTTGCTAATTAGACTGCCAGTGGGAACCTTTGAGAGCTAAACAGAATAGACCCAACCCTCCCTGTAAGGTAATTAAAAACATTAGCCCCTGGCTGATAACTAACCCACTAATTTCCTCCTGTTTGAGAAAACTTTATTATAAAAAGCTCCTGAGCTGTTTGTGTACCAGGACAGCCACTTGCACAGATGTTTCCTGTCCACTGACCTTTCAGAGTTGTGAGAAGATGTCATAGGAAGGAGAAATTTGTTTGAAATTCTGGAAGCCTGTTTAGTTGATTTGTATTTTTTTGTTTGTGTGATGGGGAAAAATTATCTCCAGATAATTTAAAAAAACATAATAAACCACAGAAGTGTTCTGGTAGACCAGTAGATCAGAGGGTAGAGGCAAAGCTTTAGTGATGCTGAATGTCAGGCTGGTGGTACCTATTATTCTGCCTCAACAGCTGTCAGAATCACAGATTAGGAGGACAGTGGCAAACCTAGAGCAAGCTCTCCTCCCTGGGTCATTCCCAGTGATAACATCGTGTGCCTGGAGCTGCAGCTGCTCTGTTGTGTTTGACAGGTCCAGCTGTGTCCGTGTTCTAGGTCTGAGCACATTAATGCTGGTGCTGTCCACAGTAGAGTCCTGTGATTTTAATTACACAATGTACAAGGAGGTGTGTCCCTCATAGGTTTAAATCTTCTGCATGGCAATTTCACAGCTGCCTGTGAAATGGAGTGACAAATACTAGGAATGACAAATACTTAATTTTTTGCCTCCTTTTTGATGCTATAGACAGATAAACATTGCAGAAATTGGCCTCTGCCTCTTCTGAATTTCAGAGGCAGCACAGAGCAGAGAGCCATGAGCCACTGAGGATCGTGATGTTGTGCAAACTTTCACACAGACATGGTGGCATTTAGAGTTGGTTTGGAGCAACAGCAGCTTCAGCCTGGCATTTCCTTCCCTTAAGAGGCAATTAAACTGTAATCTCACAGAGAGGTGCCAGATCTGGAGACCTCATGGAAATCTGCAGGGGGAGGTTTCTGCAGTGACCTTTGTCTAATGATCTAATTAAGGGATACAAACTCCCTGACACTCTCTGTGATGGGCACAGCTCAGCAGGCAGCAGGATGGGCTCTGCTCTTTGCTCCTGTTGTGCTGAGGGTTCAGGCTGCTGGCCTGCTGCTGTTCTCATGAGTGCTGCTTGTGTGCCTTCCCTCAAGGAGCAGTCCCAACCTAAATCCTTTGAAACCTCTAGGAACATTCCCACCCTTCACACCTTTTTTCAGTCATTCTCACGTGGAGAAAAGCTCCTCATAAGCAGTGTGAAGTCCAAGAGCTTCGTATTGTGGCACTCATCACGCTGACCTGCTTCAGGGCAGGATGTGGTGGCACCAAAGCCCAGCCTTGGTGGGTGCAAGGGTGCCTGAGACAGATTTCTTAGGGCTGAAACCAGAATCAGGAACTGACAGTGGGAAAAGACAAGCAGGAAATGTTTCCTCACATTCATAAATTTCTTACTTTAATTTCTGAATTCAGCAGAAGCTGGGAACAAACAGTTTCTCCCAGAGGAATATTATTTCTAGTCAGCATAGGGTTGAGATCTTTCCTCTAAAAAAGGCAGGGCTTCCCAGTTCCTGGCAAGTTTGAAGCTAGAAACCATCAGTCTGGCATAAACCCCTTGGCAAATCATGAATGCTCATGAGCTATCAAAGCTCTGCAAGGAAATGAATCTGCTCTGATTTATACCGGTGGGAAATCTAGCCTTTAATTTCAGTTCTTGAATTAGCAGTTGTTTTAATCACATGAATGCAGTCTGCTAGTTGTCAGGGCCACATATGCAAAACACAGAATTACTGCTTCAGTGGAGCCTGAAAAATGTAACATTTCAGTAAAGGCTTTTTGGGGGCTTGTGGACCATTAAGAAGAAAGTGTGATGGAGAGTCATGCAACAGCCAAAGGGAAGCAGGAGCAGCCTTCTTCATCAGTGCTTTGTGCAATTAGGGCACAACTGGCAGATCATTCAGGATTAATTGGCCCCTTTGGAGCCTGAGTTTATGAATGCTGTTACACAATGTGAGAGCAGTGGGCTCAAATCAATGACCCTGACTGTCTCTTCCCCTCTGACAGCCACAGTTCCTCCACAAACATGGCTTATTGGAATGTTCCTGCTGGACTCTGGGGTGCTACACCAGGGGTGAGTTCAGCCACTCTGCTTCTCTACCCAGCAGCAGGCAGCAAACACTGAACACCAGCTCTGCCACACGTGGAACTGTCTGTCTCAGAGATGCCAGGGGGAGATTTTCTCCACAAAATCTTCCATTGTACACCCTCTCATCACTTTTCTGGTAGGGTTGAGTACACTGAGCCATTTTGAACTTCATGTTACAGGTCCGGCGAATTCCTAGAGGAGACACTGCATCTCTGGTAAGGTCTGAAATGAGATTTCCCTGTTGCTTCTGTCTATAAGCCCAGGCAATCAACACATCTGATCAGTGCTGGTTTTGTGATATCCTCCTGTCCTGTTGCTCAAGCCTTGCTGTGTGCTGTTGGCATTACTCAAGCTCAGGAGAAAACAGAGTTGTCTTCCTCAGCAGAGACTGAACTCCTTTGTGTGAAGTTTGGTTTTGCCTGAATTTCTAGGATGACCTGTAAAGTGAAATGCAATAGGGTGCAGTAGAGGATGCTGCTGTATTAAGAATCCTCAGGCTGAAGTGGTGCCTGGAGAACAGAGAGAAGTGTTCATTCCTCCTCAGTGATTTCTCTCTTTGACCTTTGTTTTTCACTACCTCTGTTACCTTTCTCCTCTCTCTCTCTCACATGAAAGCAACAATCTGAAAGAGAGGGGAACGTGATTGATGTTCAGTGAGCTCCAGCCTGGTTCATAGAGGATTGTTCAGCAATAAATTGGAGAAGAGCCTGTGCTCAGCTGTCACTGGCAGCAGCCAGGCTGGTTACAGCAGTGGGAGCATGGAGAGCAGAGGAGAACGGCTGAGTGTCAGCACGTCTTAAGCTCTGGGAGAATTATCTCTACTCCATCCAGTGCTCAGCTCACAGTTTGCCATGTCCCCTGTGCTCACCAGCTCTGCAAACAGACGGAGATTGGCCCCTCAATGCGGTAGTTAAGATCTGGCTGTGCTTAAAACGGGGTCTAGCATGAGGCGTGGTTTAAGACCAACTACCTCTAAGTGTAGCATAGATCTGCTTGCTCGTTTGAAACATTAGTTTTACGCCTGGGGACTATTTTATTTATTTATTTATTTATTTATTTATCTATCTATTTATTAGCACCTCCCCACGCCTCGGACATTACACCTCTGGAGGTCTCAGCGCCTCTCACTGCCGGCCGCCCAGCCCGGACTCCCCGCACGAATCCCTCCGGCATCCCCCCACCATCCAAAGGCACGGCACACTGCTTGTATTTATTTTTTTTTATTATTCGTTCCGTGCTTTTCAAACCTTTGAGCGATCCGTGCCTCGCTGCAGCCTCGGCGAGCCCGCATCCCGTTCCTCGGCACTCGGCGCTGTCTCCGCTCCCCGCGGCCGCCGCGCTCCGCTCCCGCCCCGGGGCTGACCCTCGGCGGAGATGCGCTCCCGGGATTTTCCTCTCCTTGGGGGAAAAAGGGGCTGTTCTGCTCCGGGCACCTCTGTCAGCTGAAGGGGGCGGGAGCTGCAGCCTTGAAGTAGAAAAGGAAGAAGGAAAAGCAGCGGGGCGAGGATGAGCGGTGCCGGACAGCGGTGGGCGGTGGGCTGAGCCTCCCGGGCACCGCGGGCTCGGCGGGAGGAGGAGGAGGCAGGAGAGGATGCGGCGGGGCAGGGATGCTGCGGCTGAACACACATCTGCCTAAGGAGAGCAGCATCGGCCTCCGAGGGGGAGGAAGAAAGTGGGGGGAAGGCGGCGGAGCTCGCCCGGAGCCCGCGGAGCTCTGCCGAGGACTGCCCGCCTGACACCCCTGCAAAGTTTCCCGAGCCCGGTGACGAGAGGAGGAGGGATGTGAGATCCTTCTCCCCGCAGCGCACAGCTGGGCTTCCAGCCCCGGTTCTGCTGGGACTGGCCATGGCTTTGTCATCCCCGACTGAAGGGTGAAGGTGAGACCCAGGGCAGCCGCTCTCTCCATCCTCTTCCCTGGCTCCAGGCTCCAGCCCAGGTGAGTATCCTTCCCTTCCAGACGCCGAGGCTTTCTCTGGCCCTGCCAGAGTTTCCCAGCAGTTTGCACAGGAAAATAAAGTCTCGTGCTTCTCCTGGCAGCTAAATGTTTAGTGTCTGTATGTTTGTGAGCCTGCTTGTGTGTGGGGTGGCTGTAGCTGTCTGACTGCAATTTCAGTTTGCTGATCGCTGTCATTATTTTTCTGTGCCATCACACCTCTGGAAAGGGGACTCATCTGTGGTCTGTCAAATATTTTCGTTGTACTGCTGCACTGAGACTGTGTGGAAGGATGACAGCTCAATTTCTCTCCACTACAACCTGGGAAGCGTGCTTAGCTGTACATGCTGCTGGTGCTGCTGCTATGGCTTTAAACAATGTGCCTAAAATGCTGGCTGAATATCTCAGTATGCCCTTCAAGCTCTAGGAACTCTCAGAGAATTGGATGAAAGTCTGTCTTTGTGCCCCTGAGAGTACAGGGAGGGGTGGCTATTCCCCTGGAAGGAATCATTATAGCCTCTGGATTTCCATCATGCCAGCTTGAGTGTGTAGCTTTTATTTTTGCACAGCAGTGCTTGCAGTAGTGCATTTCAAGATGAAATATTGTTTGGAGAAAAACCTACACTCTAACTGATAAGAAAAGAACCTGTTTGAAACAAAGAGCCTGAAGAGAACTTTTTCCACTCCTGATGGAACAGAAGTTGGTCATTTTGATCAGAATAATTTGGCTGAAAAGTTGGTAATTTTTTAAGCCATTGATTTCACTGTAGTGAAAAGTAAAAGCTGCCAGATATCTTCAGGCAGGTCAGCAGTGGGAGCTGACCCACATCAGCCCATCTTTGTGGCTAAGAAGGGGATGGAGAAGCATCAGCCTGTGCTTTAGGAGATGACAGAAGAGCAAAGATGCTTCTGTTGTACATGACAGTCAGGATAAACATGGACTTTATTTTGTCATGTGGCCCTGTTAGGTAGAGGATAGTGTAAGGCATTCTGTGGCTTTGGTTTCTTTTGTGCTTTATCCTCCACTGCTCTGTTGGCTTTCTCAGCCCCATGTCATCTGGTGGTCTAACAGGCATCCCTCATGTAAAATCCCTGATGTTTCATATGGAGATCAAGACAAAAGCAGCCACTGATCTACTTTCTATGTGTTCCCAGTCCAAACATTTCTATGTGCTGTTAGTTACCCTGTGGTGTGTGTGCAGATCATGTTCTGGCCCTGCAATCATGCTTGACTTCCAAGATCTTCTGTCCCCAGTCTGATGGGAGAGGTTCCAGGCAGGAATCTCCAGTGAGTCCATTGTTTTCTGCTGGGAAAGGTCCATTACCCTATGTAGGTGCTGCAAGCAAAGATGAGGGGAAAGAAATTTTGCCTTGGACACAGCATGGCCAGAGCATTTCTGGTGCAGCTGCAGAGAGGGTGTGACAAGCTTAAGCCCCTGTGCTCAGGGATCTGTAACGAGAATTACCAGGCAGAGAAAATGAGCTATGAGGGACCATGCTGGGTGATATTTCTGCAGCCTCGACAGCAGCCAGAAACCACAGGGTCTCTTTGGAGTGGCTACAGGTGCCCACTGACAGATGGGATGGGCAACAGGTTGAAGCTCCTCTTGAAAATCTCAGGGGCAGCCAGACCTGTGGTGAAGCCTTGCCTAAGAGCAGAAGCAGCTGGAATGTTTAGTGTCCTGCTGGAGCCCAGCTGCCCGGCTCTTCCAGGAGGGAGAATTCCTTCAGACTGGAAGCAGGCGAGCTCTGAGAAGCCAGGAGGAAGAAAGCAGATGGAGTGAATCTGTGATGTTTTTTAACCATGAGAAGCCCCACAGTTCCCTGGGGAGAATGTGAGGCAAACCAAGGAGAAGAGCCACACTGGGCTGTCTGCAGCCTCTGTGTGCTAAAGGTTTGGGCTGGCATCTGCAGGAGCTGGTCTGCAAACAGTGCAAAAATGTGTCTTTAACCAGAAGCTATCGTGCTGCTGGTCCAGGGCTGGTGAAAGAGGCAGAATCAGGGCACCAGCCCCATCAGCATGCCAGGGTTCCCAGGCAGGACACAAGGACACTGCTAGGTAAACATGGATGTGTGTTAGCCCGGATGATGGAGAAAATGCCTTTTCTCCCTCACACACTCTCAGTATCCTGAAAAATCTTTGCCTGCTGAGAGGCCTCCACAGCCAGGCATCCCCAGATGAGGAAGGATTTAATCCTGTGATGCACCTGTCCCTGTCAGCTCCAGCTGTCTCACTGAATAGGAACTCTGCTGAAAGTTGACTGCTGCACACATTCGGGTCTGAACAAAAGCCCAAGCCAAGGAAATGAGATATGACACCTGACAGAGCAGCAGAGAGCTTTGCCTCAGCTGGAGTTGCCAGAAAATTTTATAACCTAGGAAACATGTTGAAAATGCCCGGCTGATCCCACTGGTGTGTGATGGGTGATGGCTTATTATTTGTTGTTGCTTTTTGTTTGTTTGTTTTGTGGTTTTGTTTGTTTTGTGGTTTTGTTTGGTTTTGGGAGGTTTGTTTTGTTTTGTTTGTTTTGTTTTTTGTTTAATTTAGTGGCTACACAGTGTTGATAGCACAACAGAGATTCTTGGTTCTTGCCATAGAAACTGAGTGGTATCAGTTTTTTGCTGACAATACTTTTGAAAGGGATTTGACAGGAGAGGAGGGAAGAAGCTAGGGAGCTAGGCAGGAGAGGAAGGAAGAACAGACTGCTATTGTTTGCAATCCAGCTGGGAAGAGAAATGCTCTCCTGCCTGTAAAATCAAAGACATCACCAGCAAACTGCTGACAAATTGGCTTCTGGCAATTTGACTTCCCAGCAAGTATGGCAAACACAAATCCAGCTCTCATCACATCCAATAATCTCCTCCATGGAGAAGTTGCTACTGCCAGTTAGAGCTGTGTTACTGCCTTGGGTCCTAGACAGAACCCACACAGACTCTTTTTCAACTTCAGCATCTCAGTTTCCATGAGCCTCCATCCTGAAGCTGATACTGCTCATGCTCAAGCCTTATAGAATTTGGGTTTATGGCTGCCAAGGCAAACAAAATTCCCAGTCCTCTTCTGTGGGGTCTCCTGTGATCGCACCAAAGATGGTGAGATGCATGGTAGAAAGCATGGTCTAGCTGACAAAACACCACATTTGCCCCATTTTATTACAGAATTGTGTGACTGACAGGGTGTCATTCAGTTTCTGTGGATGGCTTTTGTATTACTCAGCATCCAAGTGTTACCTGCTCAAAGGATCCCCAGGGTTGCCTCTCTAGTCAGCTCAGCCTCCCAGAATAGACATTTTTGGGGATGTTCTGGGTCATCTTCTGGGCCCTTTTATTCCCCACTGGCTGGAAAGGCAATCTGGACGACTCATTTCAATTACTGGAGAACTGAGACATGGAGCAAAGTGTCCCCTTTTCTGTCACAATTGTGGACCATTATCCATTCAAAAATACATCACCCTGGTACTGCAGCGAGGGATGTTCAGGGCAGTGCTGGATTCTGTCTCTTGGGCAGGTGTTGTGTGCGTGGTGACAACCCTGTGAGACCACTATGGCACAGGTTCTGGCCACGGCACGCTCGGATTTACTTGGGCAGCATCCACAGGGATAGCAAAGGACATGGAGCATGCTGGGCTCAGTGCTCCAGCTTGAGAGTGACCACATGTGGCCCCCACAGTCAGGGAGAGTTCAGCCTTGAAAGTGGGCTTGGATTTGTGCTTAGCTGCTGGCACCAGCAAGCCCAGAGGAGATGCTGGTCACCAGGAATGGTGGGGGAAAGGTGCTTTGGTTTATTGCTCTCACAGCTGCTTCTTCATTCCTTTCCAGGATTTCAAGGCAACAGGAGACTGGAAACCACCTTCTCAACACAGCATTTGCCCTGTGAGGACTGAGGTGACCTCCAAGACTCTTCCCAGCATGTTCAGTGAAAAGAGCAGTGCCTCTTTGACCCAAAAACCCACTCAAAAAAAGACCCGACCCCAGGGCCTCCCCTCCCCTGCTCTCTGCTGTGCCTGTGGACTCTGCATCATGCTAGCAGGGATCAACATCACCTTAGTGGGAGCATTTGCCTTTGGGACCTTCCTCCCTGTGAACAACCCTCCCATCATCATCGGACCCATCTTGCTGGTGGTGGCCTTCACGTTCTTCGGTGCCTGCTGCATCTGCAGCCGGAGGCCTCCAGCCCACGGGGCCCGGAAATCCAAACCAGGTTCCAACATTGGGCTGATCAAACCTGGCAACACAGCCTTTGAAATTGAAACCAGTGAGCACACGGTGCAGGACACCACCGCCGTCCAGCTGAGCCCCACAAACTCCCCCATCTCCTCCAAAAAGTCCACGCCGGTTCACGAGAACGCCAAGGCTTGCAAACTCTTCACCATGGAAGGCAATGGGCCAGTGGCCAAATACAGCACGGGGGGAGAGGCCATACAGCTCAACCTGCCCAGGGACCTGGCCACGTCCTAAACCCGGGCAAAGCTTTTGTCAGCAGCCAGCCAAATGCTGCAGTGGGAGGGCTGGAAATGTGCCCATGTGGGGAAGGTGCTTGTGAAAAGCCAGCAGACACTCAGGTCTCTCTGAACCACTTTAACGGAGGTGCATGCAGCAGCAGGAAAAAAAAAAAAATCCAGATTTTTGCTGAAACATGCCCATTATGCAGTTTTAAAAAGAAAACTGGTAATGATGCTGCTGTGAAAAGATGATCTCTGTTCCTGGAAATACGCTGCCATTTCTGGGGAGCAGATAGGAAGAAGGGAATGAATTAATTTGTCTGCTCTAATGTGGAAATGTGACAGTTGGAAGGAGAGACTATATGGGACTGACAAATGACAGCTCTTTCTTCTCAGAAGTGAAGCAATTCTTGGACATAAAAGAAGCAGGAATGCAGTAAATTACAGCTTGCTGCCACTCAGTCACAAGAAGATTTCTGCTGTTTTAGTGCCAGACTTTTTGGCAGTAGGGACAAAGCTATGTCTTTGCTACTGAAAAAGCAGTGTGAAACCATCTCTCCTGTGTCAAAAATTCTTGCCCCATCTTGCCCTCCTTCGAGTGATTTTACTGCCTATTCTAAGTGAAGGAACCACAAGGATCACAACCAGCACTGGTATTTTCCTCTCATGTTAATGAGCTTGAGCTGCAGCTCTGCTACTTTTCACAGTGTATTTCTTGGAAGATCAGTCAGGCTGAATCCTTGGGGATAAGCTCCTGGGGTTACCAGAGACTAACAGGAGCCTGCAAGTTTAATTTTTGGGCCGTGATTATGTATTGAGTACTAGGCAACATTCTTCCCCTATTTTTGTGGAAGGCTGGCCTGGGACATGCCTTGAGGCAGGGGGTAGATAACTGTATGGACTTCAGAATAGCTGTGCTGGAAGATGGTGACTGCACCACCTTCCCTGAAGTGACTGTGAGATCCAGTGCCCAGGAGTGGATCCTTGCTGCAGGAAATGGGCTGCTCAGTGCGCCCATGGGCTTGCAAAGCAGTGGGATGAGTTTGCAGAAGAGAATTTATCAAGAGCTGTTCCAAGCAAAGACACCCCCTCTGCCTCAGAAAGACCCACATCTGATGGAATAATGCTGCAAAGGATTTGTGTTCTTCTCTGGGTGCCTCTGGCTGGGAACACGGTGCTGTGCTGAAGGGCTTTGCTCTGACTCCTGTGCACGTGTGGGATCTGGGACCAGTATGAGGAAGGACAAGCACTGCTAGGCAGGACTTGTATGTGCAGCAGCAAGAGAGTGGATTTGGAGTAGGAATGGCTGCTCAGGTCCTCTGTTTATGGTAACTCTATATTTGAAATGAGGTGTCTGGGACTTTGAGTGACAAGGAAATCATCTGGACCATAGCACATCACTTCAGTGGCCCAGCTAGCCCAGAATCCAATATATGACAAGGCTGAGAGCAAGGTCTGGAGAGGGACATAAAGACAGGGGAAAACCAGGATGCTGCTTGCCAGAAGTGCTTTCCCAGCTTCCAATGTGCTATTGCTTAGGAGCTTCCTGAGCTGGAAGTGGTGTCTGTGTGTAGCAGCCCTGAATGGATTTCTCCCCCATGAAATAATCCATTTGCACCTTGACTGTCTCTCAGTTCTCATCATTTGTGATCCTGCAACAGAGAGTTGCACACTTTGGCTTATTTTAATCCTGCATCCTACTACCTCCCTTTGATGGCTCAAATTTCCCAGGTTAGAAGGGTCAGCAAACAGCCCATGCCCTCACCATCACTCGGGTCTTCTGAGATGTGTTTTCTATGTCATGTTCCCTCCAGTAATCTCTCTCTTACAGTACTTCACATCTCTTGTAGCCATAGGAAGGAAACACTTCCCATTTAGCCCAGCACCAGCTGCTTTCTCGGCTGAGGACAACACAGCCCTGAGGCTTTAGCCATCAGAACTGCATGTAGAGAGAGGTGGGAGGGCTGAAGGGGAAGTGCTGGAGGAGAGAGAGGGGTTGTGGCATGGCCAAGGCTCCCCTTGGCCACCAGGTACCTCTGTGTGGCCGGGCTGTGGGAGCCATGTGGGTGCTGTGCCAAGGACCATGTGTGGCCATGTGGGAGCTGCAGAGAAAGGCCATGGTGCTTGCAGAGGCCATGCAGAGGTGTCCTGGTTGCTCTGGGGAGCCCCTGGGCAGCTGATGGTCCCTGCATGAGCCCAGGTAGGTTGAGGTTGAATGGAAGTGATTAAGGTTAACCACAGAGTTGTAATGTGAGTCCTTGAGTCCTCCAGCAGTTCACTGCCTCCAACAGCTCCTTCTCCACTGAGGAATTACATCTTGATTTTAGCAGGGTGGGTCTGTACTGACTGGGAGGAGAAGAGGCAGATTTGGGAGAAGGGTGTTTGTGTAGGGCTGGGTAGATGAAGGTTCAAGTCTTTGGTACAACCTCCAGGTCCTGGGCAAGGCACTGATTTGTGCTGTGAGAGGGCAAGCACCTGCTCCCAGCTCCATGGAAAGCTGCTGTAAGGATGAGCATTGCCAAGGAGCAGGGCTGGTATTGGCACACCTGGATGAGGATGTTGCTCTGAGGTGGGTGGGTCTGCACGGGCTGATCCCTGTGTGATTCCCCTTGTGCTCATTTCCTCGGGGAGCTCTGCCCCAGCACTGCCTGCCCTCAGGAGTGCAGGAGCTGCTGTGCTGAGAAAAAGGCTCCCTCGAGTCTTGCCTGCCCGTGAGTGCTGTAGCAATTAAGCAGAACAGCTTGCTGGTGTAGGTTTGATTCCCAGCTTGCTGGCCTCACTAGCATACAACAGCTTGGAATTCTTTTAGAGACATTTTCCATGTGAATATGGTTACTGCAAGAGTTTTCTTTGAGCACTCGGAGCCAATTAGTAAAAATCAAGTGATAACCACACAATTCCTTTCTTTGTTCACTGAAGCCTTGAAAGCCAGGACTGGAGAGTATCCTGGAATCACTCCTTATCACAGCTGCCCTGTGAAATGCTACCAGAGGTGGATGATACAATGCCTGACCAAGAGATGACAACAGCAGAGATGGTGTCTGGGCAGGCAGAGGTGCAGGACCAGTGAGATGCTGATGCCCTGGTGTGGTGGGTGTGCCCAGCAAGCTGTGAGCCCAGCTGCCTGCCCAGCAAGGTGGCCGTGAGAACATCAGCTGCCTTCCTGCTCTTGCCTTCTTCTGTCTTTTGTGATTTCCACGTCTGTCTGTCTGCTCACCCCCATGATCAGCTGTGCCTGATGTTGTTGTGGATCTTGTGCCTCCTTGTGTAGTGGGAGATAAGGAGAGTTCCTAGTTCTCCAAGTCAGCATTTCTGGTGTGAGTCTTTTTTAAAAAATTGCTATTTCTGTGTGTGCAATGTGGAATTTGGAAAAGAGAGACACATTAAAATAATTGCACTCAGAAAGCATTTGGCCTGCCTGCTTTTTCATTCTAACAACCACCTTCTCCTTTATCCCCAGACTGTGTGTGCCTCAATCCTGTCTGTGTTCATTTTGCCTCGTTCTCCTCACTCTCCTGCTTGTTTTCCCAGACAGTGCAAGCAGCTGCAAGGAAGAAGTGTCCCTAAGAATTCACATTGCCTCTCAAATGCCACTTTTCCTTGGAGTCCTGGTTGCCTAACACTAGTCCCACTGCAGACTCCCACTACCATTGCTGTGACTAACACAGGAATAATCACATCCAGCCATTTTTGGCTGCAGGTGTGTGTTTAACCCCCATCTGGGTACCTGAACAGGCCAGATGTGAACTGTGGCTCCTGGGATCTCAGGGACAGGAGGAGCAGAGCTGTGGGCTGGGGTGGGTGAGGACTGTGGGCTGCTCTGATTCAGTGTCTCTGGACTGGATTATTTCAGCTGATCCTCCCCAGCCCTGGGTAGAGATGATATTTAATTTATGGTGCAGGGGAGGGAGCTGTATCTGTGTGTGCCTGTGTGTGTCTAGGATTGGTGCTGTCACCTTTCCGTGCTCGTTCTGGGCTTAGCCCAACATGGGCTCCTGGAGATGAGTCAAGGAGGGATGGCACAGTGAGAATAAAGAGGATTTGAGAGCCTTGCAAATTCACCTCGTCAAAGGGCTTCTCTCCCATGTGCAGCCAAATGATTTGAGATGAGAGGAAATCTCTCCATTCCAGGCAGCCTTGCTGGTTAAAGACCTGAGAAATTAGCTGGCTAAGAAGGCTCCACTGACAATGTGTGTAAAATGAAAACCTTTTTCCCTCAGAAAGGATTTTTTTGAAGCTCCCTGGAAAGGTTTTTCCTTTTTAAAAGTGAGGCCAGAGCAAAAAGCACAGCAGAGAGTTTGCTGAGCATCCACTGCCATCCTGCTGGACTTGCAGACTGTAGCATTCCTGCTACAGGAATTCCTGCTACAGCAGCTGCTCTGCACTAACCTGAGCTTCTTTCCATCTGGAAGAATAAACCAGAAACGTTCTATGAAATGTAATTAGCTTTTCTAATTTCCATCCCAAATTTATGTGTGGCTGGTTTATTTCCTTTTATCCTTGTATCAACAATGGTTTTTAACCAAGATACCTTTTAACCTCCTGGAAATGTTTATTCCTGAAAAATTTTAGGTTTGTTGCAGATCTCCTGGAGGTTTTCTTTCAATGGGCTGAGCTGACTGATTCCTTCCATCCTTCCCTCCTGTGAAATGCTCACTTTTACCCAGGAGCCCTTCCTTCTCTCTGCCTTATTCCTCTGATTTTGGCTCAGGAGCTCCATGAATGCTCCTGAACAGCCATTCTTTTGCAGGACTCCCAAGTCCACAGTGAAGTACAAACCTTCCAGGTCTGTCTTGTGCAAGAAACTGGACGTTTTCCTTGGATAAGGAAAGGAAGAGGGGAAAAAAATCCCTGAAAGAGCAAAAACATCCATGAAAATGTGAGATTTCCATTTGCAGAGTCCCTCTGTTAAAAAAAAATAAAATGAGCTTTTATGTCATTAGTCTCCATTGAGTCCATGGCAAATGTGCTCAATTTAAATGTTGAAAGGCTGTTTTTCTCCAACTGTCAGATGTTGTCAGCTCGGCTGAGCTTTCAGCAGCCATGGAGAGACCCTCAGACACTGCCAGCACCTCCACTACAACATGCTCCAGGAGAGGTTTGAGAATTTTTTTAAAACTCCTGGATTTCAGACTCATGGCCCCAAGGAGCTCCTTGTTTGGGGTGGCCCTGCCACATGTCCCAGAGTGGTGTGAAGCCACAGCAGATGTCCATCCTCTCCAGCAGCACAGCCTCTGAATGCATCAAGGATGTGAAGCAGCTCCCTGCTGCTCTCTCACACAGTTTGCTCTCACACACTTCCTAAGGAAGCCAGGAGCTTGACTTGTTTAATTTCAAAATTAATTAGAAGATCTTGGAGATTGACCCCTTGCAGTGGTGGCCAGTCTGGAGGTTTCTGCTGTCCCAGCTGCCCCCAGTGCTGACCCAGAGAGCTCCAGCAAGGAGGTGACCACAGCAAATCCCCCAGGCTGCAGAAGGCAGCTGGGCTGGTCAGCCAGGATTGCTCCACACAGGCTCCTTCCCATGGCTCTGTTCCATCTCTTTTACAAAGCCTGGGCAGAGAAGATTTTGCTGTTTCCACCAGCACAATCCTGCTACTCATCATCACGCTCAGCCTGTGTCTGCAGGACCTGCACACACTGA